CTATACTTCCGAAAAACTCCCGGCGAGGATTAAATGTCCTTCGGAACGAGAATCTCAGACTATATTTATAACCGGGTGAGGAGTTACTCTTTCCGTTCGCGGCCTTGCGGCGCCCTGTAGTGTGCACGACCAACGTATGACACGGTAATCAGTCTAGATATCATCATGATATAGTTGGCCACTCTACGCTATGCACGCTTTTGCCTTAGCTCCAAACATGCACCAGCCATTCGTGAAAAACAGGTCCCGATTTTACCAACTTTAGTTTGCGCCATCTATCGGTAGGATTTGAAGCTGAAAACACGGGGTGTCACTCCAGGATAATGACACCCCAGAGGGGTTTCAACGGGGGTGTCTCAGCGACACTCCAATTTTTTGGCCTGCAATTTTTGGGGAGTTCGCTAGCCGAACCTCTCCCAAGGGGGTCATGTACATTTTTGCGGCGTCAAAAGGTAATGGGGCTCCCGTGTCGGGTGTCACAACACCCATGACATCCTAAAATCATGAAAACGGAGCCTAATTTAGGAGTATTTTGGAGTATGTGGTGTCAGATTGTAAGAAATGGGGTTCCCCGATTTTTTTCAGTGCACTGCCATTGGGGAGGGTTTCTGGCGGATCGCTGTCCCAATAGGTTTAGATGCGACCGACTGTCTCTGAATGTTTGAGCAGTCTCCTCCCGCTGTGAGCAAGTTTCAGTTGATATCTGTCTCAGAAATACTTTTTAAAGGAAGGTTAAACGGAAATCGAACGTAAAATGAACAGAGGATATGCAGTAACGAGTTACCTCATTGAAGAATAGCGCTCGCCTACTTCAAAAGGGTTGGCACCGTTCTTCAACATCTGATATGCGATCGGGTTATAGCACAATTTTTCCCATTGGAGCTTTTTTTCTAATACAGCAATAAGAAAAGCGTTTCATCGTCCACTGGCGGATCCAGGGAGCGGGCATTTAAAGCAAATATTTACTCCCCCTCTCCCTGGCCCCTGCATCGCCCGAAATGGACAAAACGTACCTACCTCAACCTTATGTTTCCTAATTATAACACTTTTCTTTGATCAGGATTTCTGTGATCAGGATTTTCTTTGCTTTATACTGTTCAGCAGTAGGTATGTAAGGAATCGAAATCCGAGGAGTTTTTGGATTTTGGACACTTTTTTTGGGGGGTATGTCCCCTACAGCGTCGAAAACTTCTTCCTGGATCCGCCTATGACATCATCTCGACTGGGATCTTGCCCCCCCACGCCAAAATCGAATCCGCCGCCACTGTTCACTTGTGCATTTCGTATATACGCGCTAATAGAATCCACATTTCATAAATATCACAAAAAGTAGGTGTACCTACATAGGTAATCGGCGAAGTCATTGTTATGCTTTGTCATAGACCTCGCTTTGCTAATGAAATCGCTGAACCATTACAGTGTTCGGTTTGCAGTACTAGGAGTTAGGACACTATCAGGCCACGTTTCGGCATCTATGGCAGTCGCTCCACCTGATTCGACAGTCGACACTTCTAAGTAATACCCTGCGATGTCCAACCGGCTGGGTCATGCTCCCCCTTACGAAATTTCCGTAAGAGTAAGCCGCATAATGCACATTAGCTGAAACTAGCAGCTGTTCATTCAGCTGCTGGTGTTAGTACCCAGCCATTCAGTCAGTATCGGTGGAAGGGGAGACCCCGCGGGTCCCCTGTCCACCACCCCAGAATTAGCCGCTCCCCAACCGACCAGGGTACGGAGGGGTGACTCCAGTGACCGACAAACAGTAGGGGTGCTGCGGAGCTGCCCCTCTCCGGTCCAGTCCGCACCCGATGACGGTCACAGGGGAGGGAGGTTTGTCCCAGTCAGCGGGTACCTACTGAGGGGTGTGCGGAGCGAGCAAAGCAGAGCGGTAGAGGGAACACGAGTCGACGGGAATCCCAGCGGGCACTGCAGCTGGCCAGAGCTCGTAAGAATTAGGTACATATGTACGACAAGGTGGCATTGAAAGAACATTAAACATGGCATGTAAGTGCTAAATGCTAGGCTACTCTGATCCGCATTCTGCAGAGAGGAACACGTCAGGTAGGAGGCCTTTTCCTGGAGGTTTGCCCCTGCCAGCGGGTACGTAGGTAGTAGGTAGGTACTGAAGGGTGTGCGGAGCGAGCCTTCCATAGCCTGGGGCGTGGTAACCCCCTTTTAAGCCGCAAAGCCTATTTTTTAAAATGAATATGAAAAATGGATAGTCCTGTCAAAGATCTTCCATGGGCCAGGGCTTTCGTATAGTTGTATACGAAAGCCCTGGCCCATGGAAGATCTTTGACAGGACTATCCATTTTTCATATTCATTTTAAAAAATAGGCTTTGCGGCTTAAAAGGGGGTTACCACGCCCCAGGCTATGGAAGGCTCGCTCCGCACACCCTTCAGTACCTACCTACTACCTACGTACCCGCTGGCAGGGGCTCAGACACAATAGCCGTTTTCACGACGGGCTGTCTGGCGAATGCGCCTAATTTGACCAAAACTACACCAAGTCTCTTTTACAGCAAATATCGTCAAATCATGAATTTATTTCAATGTTTCAATTGATAATAATGCCTGATAATATGATAAAGCAGGCATAGCAGCAATTGGTGCAACCCTAGCTAATAGTTAGGGTAGCCTGGGGCAAGACGCCCCAGATAATTTATTTTGCTACATAACTTTTGTCCTACATCACCTGGAAGGCCAAATTTGTGCTCAATGCGTTCTTTGGACATTTTACTTTAAATTCCACCCCTCAAATTCATTCACTCATGATCGGACTCCAAGCTAGGAAGTGATTTGTGAAGCAACTGCAAATGGGGCATTTTGCCCCAACCCCAGGGCAAAACGCCCCACGGCCCGGGGCAAGAAGCCCCATACTCTAGATTAAAGATTAAACATGCTAGTTGACCAAATCTTATATGAGAGGTCCGTTAGACCTTGGGAGGCACGGCACTGAAGTTAGCACCTTCCATCCTATCAGGTGTTCAGCTATGACACTATTGTATGAGCAGGTTTTTCACCTGCCTCATAAGGCCAAATAATAAATTATTGCCATGCAACTGTCAACCAAATACTTCCTTTGCCATCCGGTTGCTGAGAAAACTACACATAAATGCATAGAAACTTACTGTTTGCCAGCTACCGAACATTAGGAAATGGGTAGTACGAACAACACATGAGGCAAAACGCCCCATGAGGCTTTTTGCCCCGCGACCTACTGGGGCGTTTTACCCCATCACGTAGTTGGCGGTCAGAAAACAACGCCTTGCACTCCAGCAAGACATAATTTAACACGAACCAACCCGGCATTATAAGCGTTAGATAATAGTTGTTCAAAATACATAAAAGTCGTTAACCTGATGTGGACCATAAAAGAACGCCATGATGCATAACATGACAACAAAACATAAAAATCACTCCAAAAACACATTTTTGGCTATATCTCCCTAAGGAGTCATCACAATTTCTTTCCAGTCTGGTCATATAATGATCATATAGTGCACGTTTTATAGAAGAGAGAATATTTCCCCAGATCCTTGCCAGTTCCGAGAAACATCGGTGAGGCGTTTTACCTCGGCGGGGCGACTTGCCCCGGTCTACCCTACTAAGAAATACTCCGAACCTAATTTGACCAAATGTGCACCAAATGTGTACCAGCTGGCCGTCGTGAAAACGGCTAATATAAATATTGTTCTGCATATTTCTATACATAAAAAGGTACATATCTGACGCTGCGCGTCACGAGAAACACAAAGGTATTTGGGGATAACATTATACATGAGGTCGAGAAATGCTACACTGTGCCTGTGTACAAAGTGAGTTCGAAAAAACGTGGGTACGTCATCAACGGTGAGTAGTTTTGATCGTCAGCAGCACTCCCTGGCAAAGGTAGCCCTGACTGTAAGTTATTTCCCACGATTGTTTGGAATAAGTCAGCCATGGAGAGCCAAAAGTTATCTTGCCTACCTGACCATTTAATTAATAATCCGAACACTTCTGCGCCCATCGCATGTTCAAATCGGGTCATGTCACTGACCCATGACGTCATAACAAAACCTCTTAGATGGAACCTCCAGCGGAAACTCGTTTCCGAATTGGCATTCTGATTCAATTCAGAACCATAATCAATGTATCCTGAATCTTACACAGATCACAGTTCAAAACAAATGCTTTCTTTAACATACTATAAGAGTAGGTCAAACACAGCCCCCGTTCACGAGCTCCAGAATCCCTTTATCGTGACGTCACCAAGGCGGCGGTAGAATCTCCCTTCACCCATAGGCATGCATGCAAATTTCATAATCTTTCGAGCGAGCTGGAGAAAGACAAGGATTATGTGTCATCAAAAGTTGTACCAATGTAACAATGAGTTCGCATCATTACGATGAATGGAGCTGAAACTAAAAAATAGGACTATATCGAGCCAAAATCAGCAATTCTAATGACCCCTTCATTTGAACGTGAAGGATTTCCTCTGATGGCGTCACCACGGCGCCTTTATTTCCCTAGTGCACCAACCTGAGTAGTAAAGGAATCTTGGGTCAAACATGGGTCAAAACATGCAAGGAATGGGTAACTAACCATTTATAAAGCTTGAAACTTGTCAGGCACCTGATTTCTGAGCGGTCTACTAATGATGGTCACAGGTGAGTTAATAAGAGTTAGGTGGATAATGGCCCAGTCTGTACCTAGCACAAACACAGGCACGCGCTGCACTGGTGACAATAGAGGTATACCGTCTCCCCTCGTCTGTGGCCGGTGACCCCGCCTTCCGGCCGTGACCCCTGGGTCAGCCGGTCGGTGGGGAGGGCAGGTCACAGGGCCCGGTGACCGCTCGGCCCGAGTGGCCGCACTCAGAGCACTGCGGACCGATAGCAGGGCGAGAGGAGCCCGGCATGGACTTCGCTCGGCCGCTCGAGCCGCCGCGCGGGGCGCCCGGGGCGCGGGGGGCACAGGGGTCTACATAAGGAGGTGCGCCGCCGGCGCCCGCCAGTGGTGACACTGGTCGCCTTGTGGTCAAAGTCGTCGACGCGACTGGGCCATCATGCGGCGGGCCGCCATCCTAGTGGCATTCCTGGCGACAGGAGCGCTCTCAGGTAAGCACGGGCCGACGGACGGCAGGGAAAGGCTCGCTTCATTTGTAACAGGAGTTTAAAGCCGACAACTGTTTCAGCTTGACATGGTTTACTGGATGCTGTGGTAATTATCAAGGTTAAAAATATTACATTTTGCAACTTGGCATAGGGGAACATAACCAATGCTCGTTAAGCTTATGCTAATGTTTACGACAGCCGATAGTTTAACTTTAACCAAAACAAATTCATTTATTTCGGATTTTGCTGTAAAAAATGAAATTCTGGCATCTGATCAAATGAGGGTTCGTTACACTTCAAACAGCGCCTCATGCAATGAAATAAAGGGGTATCAGAAGCTGCAATGTATCAAAATTGGTTGGTAAATCAAGCCTGTTTTAATTATTATTGTTTACCTCGGATGTTCAAACGGTTATCCTGATTCAGTGTAATGGGTTAAAATTGATTTAAGCCCAAGTCTTTTGCAGCATTTAAAAGAAATTCTGGCAAATGCTTAAAATTTCTGAAGCTTTGATGACGTTGTCGGTCATGCTTTAAGGACAAAATTGTATTATCTCATGTGACTGCAGTAGGTACCCTGCCGCAATCATTCAAACCATTCACGGGAAAGTCTCCCCTTGAGTTCTGGCTTCACATTTAAACATTAGAAATGTAATAAAAGCTGTTAGTTTTCTACAAAAACTCTTCAAATCTTGCGAAATGCTGGTCTTTATTTTCGAGGGGAAAGTAATCGGTCATTAGTCGAGCAGTTTACACCCATCTACCATCATTTTTAATTTAATTTCCTCCCTTTAGGTAGTCGAGCCTCGGTCAGTCGGTCAGTTCTCTCTAAGCCCCGTGACACGCACCCCACTCCCACCCACTTGGTCGGTCTCTGGTGTGCTGCGCAGGACCCTCTGCGCTCTTTGTGCGACGTTTCTTGTCCGAAACTGTGGCCATTCGCGGCCGTGTAATGTTTACCTCGTCAGCAGACGGCTCGGACAGACTGCCTGTGAGACCGAGCTCTGCGGCGCTGGTGTGTGTGTCCGCAAACGTCGGATCATCCCGGCCGGGCCGGACTCCGTGACCTTAGGCTCAGAGGTGCTGATCGATGTGGGCACCCGCCAGTCTCATATGTACAATTTAGTATGAAATGTCGTTTTATAGGTAATGCCGTATAGGCGTGTAGGACAAAACGTGAGACATTCCGTTATGCGTAGAATGATAAAGGAATAGCATTAGCATATGTCAGCATATGTAGCATATGTCCCTTAGCATATGTCACAACTCACAGTTCATTACGCACGCCATTTAATTCGAAATCCTGGCATAAAGTGGTTCCAGTGACAAAGTTAGAGTCAATAATGGTCTCACTTTATTTCAGCATTGCTATTTTATTTACCTGGCAACCTTCTCGAGTGCAGGAAAAACACTTTTCTACGCCACTGTAGCTTTATGTAACATTGGGGTACGCCTTGGCTGTTGAATTTCTAATTTGTTCACATGTACCAGCTCAAAGGGCATTTTCATCCATAGAAATAAAGCACTCCAACACTTATTGCACTAATGACACAATTGCCCTTGAAAGTTTTTTTTACCTTTAAAAATGCATCAGTTTTCAGTTAACCTTTTTTCATTTCCATAATTAAGACGATTTAGAATCCATGTTAGAGGTCGGCATGGGAAGGATCGGGTGCCGATTGTTTTTGGAAACAGTACAATGTAAATTAACTACACCTTTTTGCACTCAAAATAGGCATCTTTTCATTCAATTTCGGTGAATTGCATTCAATTTTAGCGATCTCTCATTTGTTTCGAATAGAGAGATCGCTAAATTGAATGCAATTCGCCGAAATTGAATGAAAAGATGCCTATTTTGAGTGCAAAAAGGTGTAATAAGATATGTCTACCCAGTATATAATAAGCTACTGGTATTGCCACAGAAAATATGGGACAATGGACATGGGAACAAAAGCCTATCACTTTAGGTACTTGATAGTTGATGTCACACATCATAGCTGATCTTTCACCAATCCGGGCCAAGGGGTTGTAGACTGCGTGTTTGCTCAAATTTCTGCTTCAGCGTATTAAGTACGTACATAACCCTTGCCAGGCCAGGGCTTCTTTCATGGCGCGGACAGGACTTCAGGAGATGTGTCAAATAAATACCCCCGCCCAAAGGGCGTCCGAATTTTGGTAGCGCTACGTGCCGTTGCATGCTCCGCGAAAAACTATTGTTCTGATGCAGCCAAAATATTCTAATTTCACCTCCGACTATGTAGGTGCCTACCGGCTTTGTGACCTGGGCCTCGTTTCATAAAGCGAGTCCGTAACTTACGCCGGTTTTTGGCATTGTATTGCAAGTGCATGTGAAGCGATGACGATAGCTTGAATCGTTGAATTTATTTATCTGGCAAGCAAGAACAGAAGGAAGAAGGGCAAATAAATTTATTGCTTCACATGCGCTTGCAATACAAGCCCAAAAACTGGCGTAAGTTACGGACTCGCTTTATGAAACGAGGCCCTGGTGACCTGATCTGAAATGAATGGAAATTTGAAATTTTTAAGGAATGTCAAAAGGATGTCCCATAGGTTTGCCGAATTTGGCAGCGATACGTGCCGCCTATTTACGAACAACTTTGGGGATTGCACCAATCCCTCCCTCCCCCCCCCCCCGCCTGGCTGGGCAAGGGATAATGTGTGGCACCCAAAGACAAAAACCTTCGTTCTGACCCGATATTAAATACTTAGTAGCATGCTTTGTTCGATCATTTGCTGCAAAAAGGATAGCATTGCAACATATCCGATTAAATGTCATGACATTAATCATCCCTGATAAACATTACACTGTTGATCACTTCGAAGCGTCGCAGATTCCGCCAGAGTTTACCAGATCAGCGAGAACCCCCTCCCCCGCGCTACAATCCCGGTCAGCTGCCTGTCGCAGTCGACCAGATAGCAGCGGCCTCCACTTGACGTTTGATCTGTTTGCTCCCGATCGCACCGAGTCACTTCGATAGCCGGGACAAAGTGCGGTCGACAGCCGGCTAACAACGCATCGCCACTCGAGCGGCCACTCGAGGCGGCAGTCCGGGCACAGCCCCCCACCGGGACATGGGGCCGGGAAGTGGCCAATCGGACAGAGCGCGATCCAATGAACTCACGTGGCACCGGGGCCGAATGTGAGATGGTTTTCATCAGTGAACGAGCGAGAGGGGATCAAGGGGTTCGCCTGACCTTGGACAGTGTATATGAGACAGACAGATCCAAATAATTTCATTAAAAAAAAAAACACTAAAAAATAAACAGTAGGTTGATGTAACCGTCCACTCAAATTGTTGCTAACTGAGCCATGCCCTTATTTAAAAATGTATGCCAAACATCATTGAAACATATTCAGGTCATCATTCAGCGTAATTATTTGCTCCTTAATTATCAGTTCGAGAGACTGAATATTTATTCCAAATGACGAGCAAAAATAAAAAACGAGGTGGTGTTTGTCCTGGCAAACATTGGCCAGACTTCCAGTCGACACGAGCACAGCCGTCAGCTGGCCGTGGTCACTACAAACACTGGCGCAGACATAAACTATTCCGAGGTTGGGCGAAAACCTCGGAGGGCGTTCTGTGCGCGTGATGCCCACCGTCCCCCGTTTCGCCGCGCTCATGAGACGGCGAGAGCTCGCGCTCCCCATACTGCACACTCAGGGTTCAGTGTTTCATGAGGAAGACAGAGAGGCAGAGGGGAGCATTTCGGGAGCAGCTGGACAGTCACAACAACATAGGGGGAGAGTGACACTGGAGTAGCGCGCACTGCGGACGGGGAGGTCGGGACGACGGTAGGGGAGCGGGCGCCGGCAGGGGCGTCCCCTGCCCTACCGTCGACTCCGACACGAGGCGGGCGGCGGGCCGTCGGTTCCGAAAGCGGTCGGCGGCCGGTCGGTCGGCGGCGGCCGGTCGGTCGGCGGCGGACCGACCGCGACCCTTGGACCTGTTGACAGCGGAGCAGCGCAGCGCTCCATCGGCCAGTCGTGCGGCGACAGCACTTTTCGAGCGCTGGTGTTTATCGAAATCCGCCTTAGCTGTACGATAAGTGCCACACCGGCCACACTGGTCGGACCTCAGAGAGCTTTCTATGTCTCCTTAGCACAGTGTAGAAAGGCTAAGAAATATTTGAGAATTGTTATGATGTAACGTAATTTCAATATGCTCCAAGGATGCAATGATGACTTACACCCATCAAGCTGCCATCACGTCATAGAAACATCACCTGCCCACTCAAATGTGGAAAGCTGCAAGTCTAAAAACATTGCTGCAAGATTCACTACCGCAAAATCATTCTAAGCATCAAGATCTTTGTTCGGATGAGTCAGAGTCGCGGAGCGTAGTATGAAGCAATAAACATTTGCAGTATTTATCTGGTACGAATCCTGCGCTAGTCATTGCACATTCCTTTACGACACAACGCATCATCTCCTGTGAAAGTCTGGGTATAGCAGCAGACCGAGCCGTGCACTCGTCTGCACGTGCGTGGCCCGTGCCGTCCTCGGAACGGGCAGCTGCACCGAATGACCAGTGAAATGAACTGCTCTGGTTCACTCAGAGATTCGCCGAGACAGGGGACCATCAGGGACCGACTAGGGACCACTATACCACTAGGGATACTAGGGGGAGGACCACTAGGGATCACTAGGGACAATAGGAGACAAAGAAATCACAGGGGAGCTGTGGGCCTCTACCGGGGGAGACTGTGGAAACCTGGGAGACCGCGGGGGACGATCAACTGACCACAACAAAGAAGGCCGCCCTCAGTACAGACGTACCAGTGCGCGTGGCGGCGGTGCACTCATCAGACTGGCACGGAGGGGGAAGTTCCAGAGCAGCGCTGACCGACAGCGAAAACTGCGTCTGTTCTGTGTTTCTGTCACAGTGCGCACCCGGCTGGTTTGCAGCGCTTCAGTGCAGTTGCACTGAATAGTGTAACGTTAGGAAAGCCATTTGCTGTTCAAAACTGGCGAATAATTTAGTAAATACAAGCACAATCCGTTTGTATTAGTCATAGTTTTAGCTATAATTTTACGTCGCACATCATGTCATTGACATGGAAAATAGAATTGGCAAAACTGTCATTTCAAAACACAGCTGCAGTTACGTTGCTTGCCCAATCATCTCAATCATTAATTGATCCATATTCCCTTCAACGCCTCCTCTGTGTTTGCTGCTCTTTTACGCGACCTTCTACGTCTGTCCTCCTTTGTCTCTCCTTCCCCCTCCCCCATTCCTCGCAGCTCACCCCTCCCCTCACTGAAGCAGTCACCGACCGGAGGTGCCCAGTTGAGCCGGACCGCCCCAACCATGGGACGCAAACAACCCTCTATTGGATGGTTCCGCCCCGCTAGCCGTCGCCGGATCACCGCGTGAATCATACATCAGCCGGACCCACGTCCGATAACTCTTTTTAGTCTGACCTTTTCTGACCTTCACTGTACCGTAAACCGGGGTGAGTTGATATGGATTTTGAGGTTATTCTAGATTTCGTTAAAAGCCACATTCATTTACGGAATTCTTTTTGTGCCAGTTTCATGGCACATGCCTTGGGGAGGCAATCAGCAAAAATGAATAAAAAATGTATATTTTAAGCCCCTTTTTTAAAACGCCAAAGTTCATATCAACTCACCACCCCACAGGGGGTGAGTTGATATGATTTTGGATTTTTCAAAATTTCTCGGCTAAAGAAGCTCAGAGGTGAGTTGATAAAATGCCAGTGTTTAAAAAAAGGATGAGAGAACACATCCTGAAAGAAACCATTAGAAAAATGCTAGTAGTTTGGCAGCAGACCTCACATTCATGAAAACGCAATCATGTCCAACACAGCGCGATCAAAATGGCTTGATTTTAGCAGCATCATTTTTTCGCTTTATGATACTTAGTTTTACTTAGAACATTCTGAACTTGGCTAGTCACGTGTCCTCAAGCCAACGGTATCAAAACTGGCAATATATTTTGGAATTACAAGTGTATTTTCTTGTAATTAAAACACATTGTCAGTTGCGGGTCAAGGTTGATATGCCTCTGACAGAAATAATGGATTGAAATGAAAGAATACATATACTTCTGAGCTTTTGTTGACTGGTAGTCAACAAAATATTAATGAAGTGAAGTGAAGCGAATCTAATTCGGACTGTATTCTAAGCGACATAAAACAGAATTCGGCATCAAAAGCCAAAATTAACCCTCGCACTTATAGGCGGGCGAACGGACCACCTCGGCTTTTCGCACATAACTCGCGCAAAAAGCGGCCGATCACGACGAAACTTTCAGTACCTCTCGAGTTTATCAATTTTACACATGTTCTAAAGATTTCATGACTCTGACTCAAATGGTTTTTGACTTGTGACCTGATTCTCGAGACCATGCTTGGCCGGAATCGCGATTTGGCGTAGTCGGCTCACATTATCCGCGCATTTCCAGTCTTTTTGTGATTGTAACGTCCAAACATGTAAATGATGTTGGTCCCACGCAGTATTTTGGGTGTCAACTGTCAAGGTCACCTGAAGGTCAGGTCAGGTCATTGACCTTTGGTGACCTCGGTTCACTTTTTGGAGTTTTACATGTTTCTAGGGTAGTTTTTTTCGGGCCGATTTCGAATTTAACATGCATTTGATCATTTATGAAGTAGTTTTAGTGCCTTCGTAACATGTTACGACACCGTCAGTGGTAGCTGACACTTGACACTCCCTATGGATAGCCGGCAGGACACCTACTGGTTGACCTGACCTGACCTGACCTGGCCTAAATGTACGAAGACATCTGTGAGCAAAACTAACATGACATTCGCGATCAGCAACAGCCAAAAAATAATAAACTCGCTTTACGAACTTCAAATAACCCCCTATTTTCCCGACTTCTGGGTAATTGACCTGGCCTGGAAGGTTAACCAATGACCAAGTTGGTTATCATCGGCTTCCTCGCGTCTCGGGCAACACGCTCATTTTTTCCGCGAAGCTCTAGCTCCACCAGGGGCCAAACGACGATGGGATTCCAACGGACGCCCCCCCCCCCATACGTTAAACGCTGGCAAAACACGAATACGGGCGAGGGCTAAACACCAGTCAATTTCTTTATATTGTTTGTTCCATTTCATTTTGCCTCTCATTCTCGGTTGGCAACTGCCAAGCAGGAAAACTTATCAGTTTCACGAGATCAGAATTCCCGCGCTGTTAGCCATACAGAAATGACAGTTCTGTCATTTTCGAAACTACGAATAAATATAACAGTTTTTTTAATCTGTATGTAATATAGGTGTTCTATAGTGTTCCTTTATAGCTTGTAGGGAGCCATCTTGAGACTTGACAGGGAGCTGTGCTGTGCCTTTTGCATGTTAGGTATGTCCACAGAAAAAAAAAACTTTGGGGTTACTGATGTTAGTTGTCGGACCTTCGTCCCCGTCTTGAGTTGAGATTCAGTTTCATAACGTTTCGGCCAGTTACTCTCCGGCCGTCGTCACTCGTCAGGTGTTCTTTGACCCTCAAGGACCTGGATGTTGGTGGCGTTGCGCTACGCGTCAAACAGTTCGAAAGCTCCTGTTGTCAGCGGGAATCGAACTCGGGTTTCCCCGGTGATGGTCCACGGCTGTAACCACTCCACTATCGAGGCAGGCTTGGCCACGGCCGGAGAAGCTACTGGCTGAAACGTTGTGAAACTAACATCTCAACTCAAGACGGGGACGAAAGTCCGACAACTAACATCAGTGATACTAACAGGCCTCGTCTCAAGCATTCAGAAAAAAACTAAAGCTTTTGGGGTTGATGGAATGATGTGGGGAAAGAAAAGGAGAAGAGTTGGTCTAATTGACTTAGTCTTACCTGCAGACCCATATTTTATGCTAATTTGCATGCCTACCAGCCTGGTATCAGCTTTTATCATGCATATCAACTCACCACCTGATGGCATATCAACTCACCACCTGTCACTTTTCTTAAAATTATAAAAAAGCGTTGTTATAGGTGAAACCCAAAACTACCTGGGATCAACAGTAAATTGATGGTAGTTTCTTTCCCAGTGCATGTTGTTTCATGAATATCCACCGTCTTTGCTGTAGGGTGGGGACTTTTCCTTAGTTTCAAAATCAGAAGAAAAAAAGGACTTTGAAAAAAGTAATGTGTTAAGAAGGCACTGCACCACATGCATGCTTTCTCAGCTATATGCATCACTTATTGGGTGCTTCACTTCACAGAAAAATAAAACTAAAAATTGGTTTACAAATGGATGAGCAGCACACATTTTAACATTTTTCGAGCAATTTATATCAACTCACCACCCCATATCAACTCACCCCGGTTTACGGTACCCCTCTTCGCCTCTATACTCTGGCTTAGCCTCTGTCTCAGCTAATACGCAGTCCCATTATTAGAAAATAACTTACTTGCACCGGAAAGCTCAATCACACAAATAAACCCAAATAACGGCAAAGGGAGAATTATATTGACCTACCAATCTGCCGTCGATCTGACCTCATTCTCTCCCTCCGCTTTGCTCCGCAGTGCCTACGGGAGAGCGGAAAGATGTTACGACATGCGCGCGGGTGTGTGAGGACCCGACCGGAGCCGGCGGGCCGTTCCAGCCCGGCAGCACGCACGTTTTCGACTACACCTCTGATGTGGTGACCACCCTGGCCGGAGCCACCGACGAGGAATCACGACTGCACGTCACGGCCACGGCAGAGGTCACGGCCAGCACGGCCTGCGATCTCACCCTGCAGGTGAGAGCAATCAATGCGTGGGCTGTGAACTGCTGAGTGTTTCATCGGCCGGACTAGCTGAGAGCACCAGCGCACAGCAGCGCTAACGGTTGAAACTTGAGATGCGTTTTTACAATGCGTTTTTAGTTTTGGTGATAATCAATTGTGCAATACTCACAGGCGTAGAAATATCTGTATTTACCATTCGCTGTCTGGTGAACCATTGGGTGTTTTCTTCTCCATTCGGCGAAATAGGTTGTGTACCCACGAGGGTTTGGTTTGTTGAGGTTCACGTCCAGTAAGCAATCACCACAACTATCAATAAACATCAACGACTTCTCAGAATATAATCCCTCCCAATCTGCTTATTGCATCTTCCCGACGGGTATGAAGAGTTCCCTGAGCACGAATTGGGCCGGCCGTGCCGTGCCCGTGCTGACACCCGATGCCCCGCGGTCACCCCGTCACCGATGCAGCCCGTCCGCATTGACCTGGTCCCGTGTTTATATCGCTCGGAGCGATGTACTGACTGACCTTCCTCGGTCCACAGCTGAGAGACGTCAGTCTGCAGGACTCGGACCCCAAGAACGCCAACAACAGGCAGGATGTGGACAACATGGCCCTGTTCAAGCAGGAGCTGGAGCGCAGGCCGCTTCACTTCAGGTAAACATGCCGCAGATCTCCGTGCGCTTTAGTATTTTAAGCATATATTTAGTCGCAAGCATCTCTATAGGTATAAGAAGTGAGCTATAATTCAGTAAGACTCAGTATCAGATTACTTTTCTATTTGCGCTTGACTTGTAAGGTAGCATAGCCGATTTGCGTCTCGCTGGAAAGCGCAGTGGTCGGCCGGCTTGGATAAGTCACTGTAGGTATGCTGTGCCGCAACACACAGGTGCCGGGCGGCACAGTATTCACTGTGAGGCAGAGACGGGCGATAAGTCCCAGCGCTGGAGATTTACCGTAAATTTGACCACACATGAGCATTTTAGCGGTACGGTAGAATGCGTTGCAACGGTTGCTAGCTCTGGGCTATCCTTCTAAAAAAAGTTCATCTCTGACAAGTCCATAAGCATACCTCAGAGCACGTGTATAAGGGTCGTCCAAGCGATTCCGCGCTAATCCATGGTTTGTAACCATCCACTTACGTTGTCTCTCTACAGCTACCAGAACGGCGCCATCCGGCACCTGTGCTCCGACCCTGCCGAGCCCGTCTGGGTGGTCAACTTCAAGCGGGGCGTGCTCTCCACTCTGGTCACCGTCGACTCCATGACGGGGACGGAGGAGACGGTCCGGCAGGAGGTGAGACTCGACTATCTCACACCACTGATATTTTTCCACTAACAAAAAGTTCTTTTCAATTCATTTCAGGCACGTATCGTCTTGCTCGCATCCTCAATTTAACTTTAATTTGGCCTGAAGGTTATTACGAATGGCTGGGTGATGAGTCGAGAAAAGTTATGACCTGACCCCGCCGACCTGCGTTTGACCCGACAGGAGGACGTCAGCGGACGCTGCTCGGCCCGGTACTCGGTCTCCGAACACGGCGAGTCGCTGCTGATCACCAAGCGGAAGGACCTGCTGACCTGCTCGGGACGCGGCCACCTGGTCTCCTCCCTGCAGAGCACCCCCTACTCGTCCGGAGCCGACGTCCAGTCGCTGCCGCTCCTCAAGTAAGTAGTCACATGAGGCGTCTTGGATAAGGCATTGAAGCTAACAGTCGCATCCGCAACCCTGATGATATTGAAAAAAATTATGCATCTCACTATAAGCAGCACCTTTGGTAAATAAGACTTAATTTTCTGTAAGTGAGTTTAGTGAATTGAAGTCGTCGCCTGATGCAAGAAACTTTAAAGGGTTGTAGCTTTAAATCGTAACAATTGTCGTCCAAAGAACAGATTAGATGCTTCGCACATCATTGCCTCAAATAATCTAACAAACATTGTACTTTTGCTTTCATCTGATCCTTCAATCATTGACGAATGACACCACCCCTATAATGTTTCTCTTTTCTCCGTTCCAGGAGCACGCTGCAGTGTGACCAGAAGGTGCACCAGGGACGCCTGGTGTCGTCCGTCTGCCACGAGAGCCACATGTTCAAGCCCTTCTCTCACGGAGAGAACGGCGCCGTCACGCGCACCACGGTGACGCTCTCAGAGCGCACGATCCGCAGCGCCGGCAAGTGGTGGTGGCAGAGCTCCGACGCCGGTAAGATATCGAAAAACACTTGTTTTTCTCAAAATACTCGTTTTTCTCGTTTTTTTTTTTCAATACAAAATGAATGCTAAATTGCTAAGGCTTTCACAGTAGTTGAAACAAGACTAAGAGCTCTAGACCAGCCTCTCAAAATAAATTCACATGGTTGCACGTCAAGTGACATTGACTACTAATAGTGACATGAAACCATCTTTTCATATGCTTATATACAAATTAGTTGCGAGAAGAGGCTTGACGAAACATGAGTTGTGCTTGAATGCGCTTATGTCGTACCAACAAAACAAGCAAACTATATTAGTTGAGGCTTGCTCCGTGTGATCTTCTGTGCATGCGTGGGCGGTGCTGGTTGTTCCTTTCAATGACGCCGACCGTTGTGTTTCGCAGAGATGCCGACCACGAGGACCTCTCTGATGTTCGACCACACGGACGCCGAGCTGACCCAGCACGATCGTGTCCCGGCGGCGGTCGAGCTGCTCAACCAGCTGCAGGAGAAGACCGCCGACAACGTCCGTCCCGACGTGCCACGTCTCTTCACACGTCTCGTGCACATGCTGCGCCACTTCACCGAGGACGGTCTGCGCCAGGTTGACGCCCAACTGGAGTCGGGCAGCGCCGCCAAGCGCTACTTCGTTGACGCCCTGCCGCTGGCCGGCTCGGCGCCGGCACTGGCTCTGATGAAGGACATGATCCTGGCTGGCCTCGTCAACGAGGAGACCACCGACCGCTGGATGACCTCCCTGGCGTTCGTCCATGAGCCGAGCGTCGAGATGGTGGCCGCCGTGGCGCCGCTGCTGGAGGCTCGCGATGTGCGCCGCCAGACGCTGCTTGGCGTGTCTTCGCTGGTGCACCACTACTGCAAGACCAACGTCGACTGTATCGATGAGGCGGCTGTACGCTCGGTGGTCGCTCAGCTGGAGCGCACTCTCGGCTCCGGCTGCCGCGCCGTCTCCGAGGACGAGGAGATGAAGATGCTGACGGCCCTGAAGGCGCTCGGAAACGCTGGACGTCTCGTTGACGGATCCGCCAAGCTGCGCGCTTGCTTCCAGGACGAAGAGAACTCGATGGATGTGCGTCTGGCGGCGATCCGCGCCTTCCGCCGGATGCCGTGCAGCGTCGTCACCGAGAGTGGCCTGATGAAGACGTTCGCCAACCCGGGTGAGGACACCGAGGTGCGCGTCGCCGCCTATCTGGCGGTGATGCAGTGCCCGTCGTACGACATCGTCGACAAGGTGCAGGAGGTCCTCTCTGCGGAAACGGTCAACCAGGTCAGCAGCTTTGTGTGGAGCCATCTCACCAACATGCAGGAGACCAGTGACCCGAACAAGAGTTACATGAAGTCGCTGCTCTACAACATCAAGCTGGCGGACAAGTTCAACACCGACATGCGCAAGTTCTCTCGCTACTTTGAGAAGACGATGTTCTCCGAGTCGATGAACGCCGGTGCGACGGTGGACGCCAACGTCGTCTTCGCCGCTGACTCCTACATTCCCAGGTCTGGCATGTTCAACCTCACCGTTGATCTTTTCGGAGAGGCTTTCAACCTGCTGGAGGTCGGAGGTCGCGTGGAGGGACTCCAAGACCTTTCCGAGAGCCTGTTCGGCGACAACGGTATCTACCCGCAGGAGACCATCAGCCAGCTCATGAAGACGATGCAAGGCCGACAGGACAACACACGGTCTGCTAGGCGCATCCAGACGTCCCAGGCTTCGGCCTACATGAAGATATTCGGCAACGAGCTGCATTTCGGCAAGTATGACTCTCTGAACGAGCTGGTCGCTTCAATGGGCGCCAAGAACCCTCTGGACTTCCTCCAGAAGCTGGCCAAGGACATGGACTGGACTGAGAACTACCAGTTCTTGGATTCCTCCTACACCGTCCCGACTATCGCCGGTTTCCCTTTCACTCTGAAGGCCACCGGCACTGCCACTCTCTCGCTGAAGACCGGCGGTAGCTTTGACGTCCAGAGCTGGAGGCAGGTGAACATCAACGGTCACATCAAGCCATCGGCAGCCGTGGAAATCATGAGCGAGATGACCGTCAACGCTCACATCGCCCACACTGGACTCAAGATGAACACCAACCTGCACACTTCCACCATCCTCGACGGCCACGCCGTTGTGAACGGAGGTGAGCTGGTGTCCGTGCGCATCAACATGCCGCGCGACAAGGTTGAGGTCCTTGACGTCAGCACCCGGTTCCACAGCGTGTTCCGCAATAAGGCCCGGAAACTGGAGATGTACACCGACAACCGCTACGAGCTGAAGTCGTGCTCTGACAAGTACATCAGCACCGAGCTTCTTGGTGTCAACTTCTGCGCTGACGTCAGCTACTCTCGTGGCACGAACTCTCTGCCCAGCTGCCTGTTCTCCGGCCCGCTTACCGCGCGCTTCACTGTGGAGAAGACCGACACCATCAAGGCCTTTGAGTTCGAGTACCAGCACTCCAACGAGCAGGGTCTTCGCAAGTCCACCTTTGTCATCGACACGGTCGGCTCAGCCGTTGACCGTCGCATCAGTGTCGACTACCTCATCAACTTTGACAGCAGCGAGTTCAAGGCTGGCTTCCACACTCCCATCAAGTCGATGGACGTGTCCGGAGCGCTGGACCTGGCCGGCCGCACGAAGCGTGTCGACCTCTCGCTGAAGATGGACGACCGCGAGCTGTTCGGCGTGACCAGCAGCCTGGCCGTCGATGACACCGCCGTCTCTGTTCGCTACACGCCGTCTCTGAGCATCCGCAGCTCCGGCGACGAGCTGGCCAACTTCCAGGGCAACCTGATTGCTAACAAGAACAAGCACAAGTACTCGGTGGACCTCACCATCACCAAGGTCTTCCAGTCACCTCTAGTCTTCAAGGGTACGTTTGGTCATACTTAACCTATTTTTGTTGCTCACTCAGTCGCTGTTGCCTACACGTATTATATGTATGTATATTGAATAACATTTCAAGATCATTGCACTATGACGTTAGCAGCATGGTTTTGATTAGAGTAGACTTGTCTCTTGCAAAAGCAGTTTTTAGAAACAACAATATCAAAACCCAAACATTTTTGTAACAGGTGCAGTCAGATAAACAAATCATTAACACGTCATCTTTCTTGCAGGTGGTTTGAATGAGGCTGATGGTACGTACACGGTGACCACCTCCATGGAGTCGTTCCTCCTGGACGGCAACATGAAGGGAACGTTCCGTGTCGCCGGAGACAACCTGCTCATCCAGACCAACACCGAGTACAGCTTCGCTAACGGACAGCCGCAGACGATCGCCGTCAACGCCAAGCTGAGCCAGAGCGAGCAGGACGACGAGAAGGCGTACCGGCTCTTTGTGGATACCAAGGTACGACACGACGAGACCACTTGTGCTGTTCTGTTTTCATGTGCAATTGGTAAAAGATCTATACTAAACAAAACGTAAAATGGCTTACAGAACAGCAATCGTAAATCCGCAAACATCCTTCGCTCTCGAATCACGTCTATTCAATTCCTGGACTAGATCTCATCAGCACTGCGATCCATCCAGCGTCACCTTCGGTCTCGTGTCTGACCTGGTTGCTCTTCTGTCCGCCAGTTCTCGGGTATGCCGATGCTCGACTGCCAGTTGCGCGCGGAGCGCCGGGTCAGGTCTGACAGCTGCCAGTCCAGTGTCACCCTGATCCGCGGCGAGCGCACCTACGAACTGTCCTCCGGCCTCGAGTTCAGCCGCGGCAAGGTTGGCGCCAACGTCGGCTTCGCCGCGCAACACTGGGACATCGACTTCAAGCTCGGAGGCAACGCCGATGTAAGTACCTCTTATCATGCATTTCAAGCTGATCGGATAGTTTATATTTTCAGCAGATTGCATCAATGAAAATCGTCTACTAAAAACGCCTATGGAAAACTTTTCAGCATTGCAAGTCCGAAACTGTTCGTAGATGGCAATGAAAGGATAACGAACTACAGATGGCATCTATCAGGATAACGAACTTCAAGTGTAACTTTCAGTCTTGATTGTCAGTTCTGTTGTTGTTTGTATGTATATCCAGCCCTATTTTCTCACTGTTTCTCATTCACCCTTATTTTATCTCCCTCTCTCTCTCTCTCTCTCTCTCTCTCTCTCTCTCTCTCTCTCTCTCTCTCTCTCTCTCTCTCTCTCTCTCTCTCTCTCTCTCTTTCTCACTTCTACTATGTCTTTCTATTACTCTTTGTCGTTCTCAGTTTCTAAATCATCTGTTTTCCTAACAAATTTTCACCAACTGATAATACGTTCCCTGTGTGTAATCTACAGTTCAGCGAGTACAACAAGGTTATGGTGACTGGCGAAGCTCAGCTGAACCAGGACTATTTTGCCAAGACAAAGGTGGGCCTGAACTACAAGAGTGAGGAGTCGGGCTTCCACTACGGCGTGAATGCGGAGCTGGCGCTCCCGAGGTCCACCTACATCGTCAACACAGGCGTTCGGCAAGAGGAGAATAGCGGACACCTCAGGGTAAGTGCCTTCCGCTGTGCGATACACAGGAGAGACAGACGCGATTTGGAAATGTTATGTGGTCTGGTCATATTTGGAGACGAAGTAGGTACCCAACGTTTGTACTCGTACCTACCTTGACTCTGATACAAAACGTGGTCTGTCTGCATAGCGCATGACGTTGAAAAGTGTACCACAAGTTAAGCAGCGCAATCTATCGATTTTCAAATCAATGCAAGCTCAGTTTATGGACATAGGAGCATAAACTTTCCGGCCCTCAGAGCAGCGTTCGACCTCTGTGTGTTCGCAGGTTGTGGCTCGTCACGAGACCAACGAGGAGGTCAGCGAGGTGGCGCTGGTGGGCGCGCTGTCGCTGGACGCTGAGGAACTCGGAGGCGAGCTCACGCTCAGCATGCCGCACTTCCCGCGCTACGAGCTGTCGGCGCGCCTGGTGCCCGGCACGGGTGGCCTGTACCTGGCTCGCGCCGTGGCGCAGGCCGGACCTCGCGTCTACACTCTGGGTGCCGAGCTGAAGACCGCCCAGCGGCCGTACGAGCTGGACCTGCTGTTCGAGCGGCCCGGCGACCGGCGCATGTCGGCGCGTGTCACCGCCCTGGTCACCGGCGATCGGCCCGAGGTGACTGTCGACCTCCGCTTCGGACGCCGCATCACGGCCGTTCTCGCGGTGAGTCCGGGGTCCGACCTGAGCGCTGCTACCGCGCTCCCGAATACCGGCAGGTTCTACTACTCCTTCAGAGCCATCGCAGTCGTGTGTATTTCTTGACATTCTTAGGTCCCATGGCGGCATAAGGCAGGGCTCAGTATAACCTGATAGTCTCAAACACTCGAACAGCTTCAACCTAATACCTACAGCTGGGAGACAAAAATTGTCCGATTTGCTACCTAAATACATAAACAAACTAGCATGTTTATTGGCTTCAATAATCAATGCAGTGGTTGTATTTGTGCTCGTTTTACGAGCCATCACGCATGCTCAATCCAGTATGCTCAGTGCTCACCTACTGACGTACGGTCTTCAGGGTAACCTCTACCCGAGTGAGAACACGGCCAACCTGGAGATCTTCTGGAACAAGGACGTGGACGACACAGAGCGCGCCAGCGTGGAGGTGCTGCTGCGCGAGACGGACGTCTCGGCCAGCCTCAAGTACCCCGGACGGCAGATCAAGCTGATCGGCGCCCTGCAGTGAGTGAGACTTGCAAGCAGCCCACAGTTGTTTTTCAAATTCGTTATTACGCTATTCAAAGACGTCAAACACTTTTCGTTATTCAAACGGCACTCATACTTGACTCATTGACTCACACTATTGATTATGCATCAGAGCTGTTTGCTGATCTGTTGGATCTCCTTTATCAGCGTCGACACCTGGACCGCTGAGCTGAGCTACGCTCCGGGCAAAGTCATTCGTGCTGAGGGCAACGTGCCGCAAGACGACAGCTTCGTCCGAGTCAACGTCAATACGCCGCTCGAGGGCTTCACCACCCTGTCGCTGACCTACACCAAGAAACCGAACCAGGACTACAGCTCTAACCCGCTGGACTTCGAGGTATGCAGGCGTTACGCCGCCACAGCCAGTCTCCAGTGGGGCAGAGCCTGCTGGCACCCACTCCACAAAATAATGCGCAGTTGTGTTGCAGAATTTCGTTCGTAACAGTAATGAATGACTAGCATTTCAAATGAGCTCATAGTATTCCTAGGCATGATTTCGAGCTACAGCTAAAATGAGTGACACTAACATGTATATAAATCCCGGAAAAAAATAAGTCTTTGAGATAAATGCCGAAAAAAATCAACTCAACTTTCATGTCAGGTTCAATGCACTAATCACACATGCATTGCGATGCATTGCATGTTTCGTTCAAATGTCTTGTATTAAGTTTATATTGGACTGAATGAGGGCTCTTTATTGTAAACATGTGTGCAATAAACTGTGGTCTTAACAAGTTCCAGAAACCTCGCACCTTTCCCTTAAGGAGAGGAGAGTATCGTGTTCCGAGTGACCGACACATGTTGTCCCTCCTCACAGATCGTCGGGCGCCTGGAGGAGCAGGAGGCTCGCCTGGTCGGTCATCTCCTGCTGCACTCGGCCATCGAGACAAGGCTGGAGCTCTTCACTCCGGTCCCCGGCTGGGAGAAGAGCCAGCTGAGCTTCCGCTACCTTCTGGACTACAACAGATTCGACGGTCGCGTTCTCCTCGCCAAAAACGACGACGAAGTCGCCCTCGGCGGATCGTTTGAGATGCGCCAAGATCTTCTGCTATCAAAGATTCACGCCGCCTTGGACCTGGCCCTGCCAATCGACGCGTTCCGTAAAGGAAAGGTCGGCTTCGACCTGAAGTTCGGCGATGCTCACCTGGATGGCGGCGTGCTGGTGCAGTGGAAAGATACCCGAGAGCACGAGCTCTCTGTGTCGCTCACCAGCCAGCACTCTTTCGACCACGAGGCCCACATGGACAGCGTCCTCACAATCCACACACCGTTCGAGGGCTTTGAAGTCATGAGCTCTCATCTCAAGTTCAGCAGCAGAGCTGGCCACTTCCATGCACTGATGAACATGATCCATGCCGATGTCAAGATGATCAACTTTGAAGTACTTTCGACCAAGGGCTTCCCAACAGACAACGTAAAGTTTGTATTCAACTGTGCCTTCTGCCCCCTCGAAATTCTTTATGAAGGTAACTTCGGTCTAGAAACGTCGCACACTGGCTCCGTGTCAACGCACTGGTATGGTAAAGAACTGTCTTTCTCTTTCAAGCAGGACCAAACTATGCCGCGTGAAGGCTCAGCGCGATCGGATGTCGCCGCTTCTCTAGTTCTGCCCATTGATCCCAGCAGGTACGCGATGAAGATCACACGCGAGGTGGATATCAGCGCACATGAAGTTTCTGAGCAGTCGGAATTCAGCTGGGGAAGCAAGAAGATCGCCAATGAAATGACCGTGAAGTGGGATGCGAAGATGAACGACGAAGATTCACTTGAATCACTGTCATTCACAGGAACTGGAAAGCTGACCACACCATTCCAGGGCTGGGAGTCTGTCGAAATTTCACATACTAGCAAGGTGACCAAACTTAACACTCGACCAAGTTACAGTGGATACACAAAATATGTTAACAACGAAGGGAAAACAGTGGAGATTACCGACCGCATGGAGTTCGAAGATTCACTTAACTGGCTTCTACAGAGGGATATTACGAGCGAGAGCAGGTGGGTTTCATCGGCTACTCATTCCATCCGCATGAGTGGTGAGCCCAGCAGCGTTCAGCTAACGGTGAACAGTCAGATGGCCGATGAGACAGCCCAACTGCAATACTCCCACCAGCTGCGCGACATCCAGTTCTCCGCTTCAGTGAGTGGGAACTGGTTCGGCTGCCCGACGCGTGGTCTGAAGGTGGCTGTTCGCAACGCTGCGGAGGCTGTCTACCCGTCACTGGACATCACTTACGACGAAGGCAAGACTATCCGCATGTATGGAAGCATCTCCAAGTCTCTGGAGAAGGGACAGTCTAGTGTCACCCTGGAGGCGCCGTTCACTGATAGAGCTGTCCTTTCCATCGAGCACGATTGTGACTACAACACCAAAAAATTCACAGTCGACTACCTGCACGGCGACAAACGCTATGTCTTTGATGTGGATGCGTCGACTAAGCGATATCTGACCTCTGACGCCAAATTGGCCATCAAGTTCAGTTCCCCACCCACATGTATGGGAGAAGGGTCAATCGTCTTCAAATACGACATGGAGGACGAGCTGAAACTCAAAGGCATGGTGACCTTCAACGATTGGAAGATGTCTACGAAGAGCAAACTGGGCATGATGAAGGGCCATTTCACCGTGAACACACCGTACACCGGATACACGCTGCTTTCAGCCAGCTACCTGTTCAAGGGAGACGAGGGTGAGATTCGCCTGAAGAAGGAGGATGCTCAGATTCTTGCGGTCCTCAGTCGAGCTTTCAGCGGCAGCGAGTCCACATACATCATGCGCGTCAATACTCCATGCGCCGGGTACGAATCGATGACGCTGTCTATCAACAAGCCCATGAATGAGAACAGGTTTAATGCCGAATACCAGCGCGGCCGCCTTGCCTCTATTTCCATCACCACCGAATACGAGATATCAGCTCCTGTCTTCTCAATTTCGGCGGAAGCGCAGTCAACGATCGAGGGATTCTCAACATCGGGACTTTACATTAGTTACAACATGTTTGATCAGGAGGCAAGGTTCGTGCTCAGCAAAGAAAACAAGAAAATTGACACCAAGGTCGTTGTGGGACTCAGTGCTCTCTATTCGGAGCTCTCGGTCGAGTATTCCAACACTCTCCTCGATTTCGGCCTTCCGCAGCAGCTGACTGTTACCGGTATGTACAACGTTCGTGATGTGAAGAAGTCCATGGAACTTGCTGTCATCAAGGGAGAAGAAAGATTCGTGTTTAATGCTGAGGCTCAGCTTGAGGATGAGCTCAATCTCTTCACCGTCACCATCAATACACCAATTGATGGGTATGAATCTGCGAAGCTGGAAGCCCGTCTCCATTTGACCGATTCGAAGATCCTGGCAAAGCTAGAGCTGTCCAAAAATGAGGACATCCTTAAAGCTGTTTTCCACGCCAAGCGTGACGAGGACACCGTGGGTGCATCTGTTGCGCTGCATACTCCTTGGGAAGCGTACCGTCTTACAACTCTGTCTGCTGAATACGGGATGGGAAGCCTTGGAGGCTACGTCAAGCTGGTCGCGGAGCGCAACTCGGACAGCTACGAGATAAAGGGAACAATGGAAGAAAAGGACGAAACCGTGCTGCTGGTCCTCACCACTCCGTTCACAGGTTTTGAAAGAATCAGCACGGAAGGAAGCTTTAGTAAGAAGGACAGCGGCGTGCATGCTCTTCTTGTTCTATCGCGCAACCAAGACGAAATTCGCCTCGCTCTTAAAACAGAAGTGTCCTGGACAAAGTCTAAGGTTTCGTTGGACATCACAACACCATTCCCCGGAGCACGTTTCTTGGGAGCGACAGCTATGTATGACATCCAGAGTGAGCAGAAGACCGCTAACGTGCTTGTTGCTGTGAATGAAATGCATTATGGGGTGAACTTGTTTGCCTACATGAAGCGAGGGGCTGCCACCGGGCTTGTTGAGCTGAATACTCCCGTTGAGGACTGGGAAAACGTGAAATATCAGGTCACTTATGACATCAACAACGATGAGAAGGTAATTGAAATCAGTTACGAGAAGAATGGAGTGAAGCAGGTCATCGCCGGCAGGGGTTCTTACGATGGAGAGAACGCCTACATCGACGTCATCACGCCCCTGAACGGCTATGAAAACATGGGAATCAATGGCCGCTATGTGAACCGAAGAGGCAAACGTGAGGCTGGTTACGACGCCCATGTGAACGACCATCGGCACCGCCTGTATGTCCTGTACGAGAGAAAGGGACTAGAAAGTGCTACGCTGAAAGTTGAAACGCCCATTGAAGGTATGCATAGTATCAGCGTGGACGCAAGATCGCAGGAGTTCCCCGATGGCATGGGCTACTACATCAACACTAACCGAGATGGCAAGCGTAATACAATCGAGATCCGCACTGTCAAAGACGATGACAGCATTGGTGCCGACATTAGCATCCAGTCGTACATCGAAGGCCTTGAGAACGTCCGCCTGTCCGGAAACATCGTCACCAGGGGTCGGAGGAGGTCGTTTAGCTTCAAGTCGGTCAGGGGAGAAAGTCAGGCGGAGATCTCTGGTCAAATCGTTATGAAGCGAAGATCTGGAAAGGGAAAATTCAAAGTTAACCTGCCGATGATCGAAGAATGGGGTGACATTGACGCATCGTTTGAATACGATCTTGGGCGAACAAAGACCTTCCAGCTGACGTCAACACGAGGTGGGGTCACCAGGGAGTACTCCGGTTCTTTGCAATATTCTGACACAAGCTTTGCAGTCACTCTGAACACACCATTCGATGGCTTCGAAACACTGTCCGCGGAGGCTAGCCGAACAGAAGGTCCTGATGGGACCATTACTGCGGATATCAAACTGACAAGGGGCGACAGAAAGGTAAAGATCGACTACAACTATAACTTGTCGGGAAGTGACGGTTCTGGTTACGTGAAAATCACCACACCATACGACGACTTCAGAACGATAAAAACATCACTGTCGTACAACATTGGAGCTTCTTCTCGCACGTTTGAGTTCATGGCACAACGGGACGCAAGGAAATGGCATCTCAAGACCTCTCGAAGCTGGGCAGACGGAGAAGATCACGCAAGTCTTGAGCTGCACACTCCTATCGAGGAGATCAGTGAGGTCAAAATTGAGCGCAACTTCAACCTGCAAAACCTGAAAGCAATGACATACAACGCTGCATACGAGAGGAACGGCAGGAAGTTCTCTCTTTCTGGAACCGGATCCATCAAACGCAAAGGCAAGGAGGCAAGCTTTGACGTTTCCGTCAGTACTCCTCTGGAGATCGGCAGCCTGGGCGCTACCATCGCCTACGACTTTGCAAGCAAGCCTAGGACCATCAATGGCAAGGTTACTGCTGGCAACAGGTATGCCAGTCTGACTGCCTCGCTTGCAGCTGATGGTGGATCAGTCAGTCTCGTCACAACGAACGAAATGCTGCCTAAGGCCGACTTCGTGTACACCGCTGACGTGTCAGCGTCCAAGCGAAGTGTTCAAGCTTCTTTGACCCTGTATGATGGACGAAAACTAGAACTGGACTACCTGGCGGACTATAGCCGGAAGAACAAGGCCAATGGTCACATCTACGTTCAATCGACCACGTTTGGAGACAGAAAGCTAATTTGGGACTACGCTACTCCAAAGGATGACTTCGCTGCCAACCTGAAGTACACTTCACCTAATGGTAATTTGGACTGGTCTGTGACAGTGGACGGAAAGAGGTACGTCCAGAGGAAAATTGTAGTCAAAAGCTCCATTGAATCGGAAATCTACACCAGCTCTTGGATGGCCACTATCCACTACAACACAAAGAACGGCTTCACCACCAAAAACAAACTAGTTTACAATGGGAAGACATACAGTCTCAATTTTGATGCCAAGGAAGTCAACGGAAAACGCGAAGTTTCTCTCAGTTACTCTGGTCAACTCCTGAAAGGACTTCAGATTGAAGGAACATGGACATTGCCATCCAACCCAGCTCCAAAGAAAGAGTTCGATATCAGTTACAAGCGCGGACCAAAAGAAGGATCACTCAAAGGCTCTTTCCAAGTTAGTCCAGGAGGCAAATCTGGATCGGTTGACATCAAAATTACGACACCCTTTAAAGTAGTGAAAAGTCTTGACGTAGACGGAAGCTGGGACTTCATCCTTCCCAACCGTATCCTCAATATCAACTACAACAGGAACGGCGGCAAGACCTATTCCTTGGACTTCGTCGCATCTCGACAGGAAGAGGAAGGAAAGCCTTACGGACAGTATAGGCTGAGTGTGACGACACCACCGCTCGAAATGAGGCCAAACGTCTTTGTAAGCGAACACAGCATCGAGGTCACTTTCGATATGCGCTACGGCACAATGTTCAAGTGGGTAGTGACTAGTCCCATCGAAGAAGAGCTGCTGATAGACGTCAAACAATCGGGCAATGTCAGAACCGTCAAGGCCCACTACCGTTACAACGACGAAATCGGATTGACCCCATACATGCCACCTTACGTTAACATTGACTTCAATTCGAAGCGCACAAACAGAAGGGCTGGTCCCAAAATCGACATGACCCTGAACACAAACTTTGAGGGCTTTGAAGACATTGAAGTCAATATTGATGTCTCTAGAGGGCGGCCCAAAAGTACAGTGAAGGTCAACTACCGGCGCGGCACCAGAACCGCCGACATGACCGCGGAATTCGAGATGAATCAAGCGGGCGGAGGCATTCGATTCGATATCAAGACACCAATTGAAGGGTTTGAACAAGTCAGTATTAGCGGAAGTTACGCCAAGGAGCCTAACTACGCCTTGAACCTGGACTATTCACGAGGTGAGAAGTACGTCAAGGTCACATCGTCGTTGCAGTATAACGCCGAGCGGTCGTACGGCCAACTGCAGTCGGGAAGCGTCGACGCCAGGTTCAAGCTGGATTCGTTCATTACGATGCCCATCGACCTGTTGGTCACCCTGGACGGCTCGATGGAGGCTCAACCTCGCCGATCTGGTCAGTTCAAGCTAGTGGCCACTCTGAACGGTGACACGTACTCTGTCGACCACCAGGTGAGCCGTGCCGAGGCCGGTCGTCGCACCGCCCGCATGGTCATCCTCACGCCGTTCAAGGGTCCCTTCAAGAAGATCGTCTACAACGCTGACGTATCGACGGCCGCCAACAAAGCAACGATCTCGCTGGAGTACGGCAGGAAGAGGATCGACCTGGACGTTTCCTGGTTCGCCGGCGAGGGCCGCCAGTACGGTGCAGAGATTCGCCTGAACACGCCTTACAAACCAGTCCAGGCTGTGGAGCTTGACGCCAAGGCCACGCTGCAGCCACGCGGTGACGTCGTAGACGTGCTGGTGCACTACCGTCGGGGACAGAAGATGGTTCATGTCACAGGCACCGTCCAGCCCTTCGCCGTTGACCTTCACTTCGAAACACCGACCTTTGGCAACTTTGGAGTCAAGGGTGGCTACACTCCGCTTGACAGTGCCCTCAAGGTCGAGGCTATCGTTTCCCTCGCCTCTGGTAGGGACATCGGCGGCAGCGTTACCGTCAAACCAGGCTTCAGGGCCAAAGACATGCAGCTGACGATCGACATCCGAACGCCTGTCGAGGGCTTCGAGCGTCTCGGCTTCGACATCGCCTACACCAATATCGACAACAGCAACATCATGCGAGTGGCCTTCGAGTCCCCCATGACAAAACGCGTGGAGCTGTCGTTTGAGCTGACCAACCTGACGGATGACTACAGCACCGACTTCAGAGCCGGCGTCACCACAAACTACCTGGGCAACGCCTTCACGTTCAAGACCACCATCCTGAGGGACAGACACGGCATGAAGTACGAGCTGGAGATCGAGTCTCCGTTCCACATCCTGCCATCCTTCAAAATCACGGGACGGCGCTGATCGCTGCGCCCGGAGAGTCCCGGCGCTCGGCACTAGCGGCATTCGATTCCGCTGCTTTCTTATCACCCTTAGTGCCGGTTTGTGAGTGTTGTGTAAATATCATTGTGCGTTATGTGCGAGAATCGCCGTACCATGTTATAGTCAATGTGTCGATGGGTGGTGAGAAAATACATGATGTAAATCCGGACATGCATACAGCACAGACAAATTAATGTGAGTTCAAACTTGATGCGTGGATTGCGGCAAATAAATTGAGTGTGTGAACACGTGCGTGTCCATGTGAGATGTGAAAGAAGGGCTATTGATGGGAAGGCGACGAAAATAGACATACACGGATTAGACACGGATATACTCAAGAAATCAATATAGGGACAGATACAAAAGTGGCGCAACAAGGTACACACAAAAAAGGCTCTCTAAAGAGCTATGTTATACACATAGGTGGGCGGTGGGCACCTTCCTCAAAGTTGTGGCGTTACTTGTTCCCCCGTTCCTACAGAACGTGACTTTTGTCATTCGTTGCTCTGCTCCTCTGCAAAATGTAATGCGTTAGGCGGCACGGGTGGACATCGATAGCAGCGCCTCTATCGGTCACTAGGGAAAGCTGGGCTGTAGGCGACGAAATACCGGCTGAGTTGTCACACGTTGAATAGGTTTATAGACATCCGTCTTGTGAAAAAGTTGAAATTTTGCCTTCAATATTTCTACAGGCAAATTTTAGAAGTGATCTTCACATCTTGCAAGGCCGTTTAGATTATTGTATCCACTTCAAGCCTTCCTTATTGTTCTTGACAATGGTGCTGGAACTATTTATAATATGTGTTTCTACCTTAGTTAACCCTCGCACCGACGGGGGGGCGGATATCCGCCCCCTGAGGTTTTTCGCGAATAGCGGGAAAACCGCGGCGCGTAGCGCCGCGAAATTTGGCATGACTATAACCTCATCAATTTTACACATGGTGTGCAAGTTTGAACCTCCTACCTTTTAAGGTCAGGTCACCAGGTCACTTTGAATGACCCAACCTCAAGTCACTTTTTTGCAACTTTGTCACCGTGCCAGAGCTACAGCAGATGTCGGAGGCCTTTGAAAGTCGCAGGATATTATAAGGTCATTAGTAGCTACAATTTGTATATCTCGGAATTTTGATATCGGTGACCTAAGGTCAGGTCAATTTCGCGACCTCCCCATTATAAGTCAATGGGGGAAAAATCAACTCCCTGTTTTTACCACTAAAACGGGTCGGAATGGCCCCATATACCATACATGACTTCATATACGATCAACCTTCACTACCTTGGTCTGTTTTGCTGTTGGGCAGCTGTGAGGTCATGTGACGTCATCAAAGGTCACCAAAGGTTTTTGGCCAATAACTCCGTACAGGAACAAGATACAGACGCGTGGATGGTCTCATTGTGTTCAGCTCGTCAATCCGCATCGAATGATATACATGATGACCTCGAGGTCACGTGACCTGAGGTCAACCTTTGACCTTGACCTTTCGAGGTCAACATATATATCATTCGATGCGGATTGACGAGAGGATCACGATGATGCCCTTAGTTTGTTCCTATCTTGATTAATTCGAAAGTTATTCGAGAAAAACTCTCCATATCTAGCGCCGCCATTTTGACTTTTTCGACCCCTATGACGTCATCTTTGACCTGACCTGAAAATGACCTGAGTAAAAATTGTAGATCTTGGCCGTGCGTATCCGATGCCGTTTACCGCTTGTCGCTATCTTGCTTCGTTCTCGAGATCTCAGGGGGGGGGGGCGGTCATCCGCCCCCCCCCCCCCGTCGGTGCGAAGTTGGCGCAGACCCCCGTCGGTGCGCGGGTTAAAGAATATATTGTGCAAACGATGGAAAAACATAAAAGGAAGATTTTAAATGCAATTTTATCTAACAATTAATAGTAGATTCTTTACACATAAAGGAAAAGTTGCATGCTAACTGACAATTTAAAGCTCTTGGGGCCAGATGATTTCTTCTTTTCTTACGTCGCCCCAATGGCCGCGAATACACTTGTGATAACGCCTATCGGGAGGGTACTTATGTAGGTATAACTCAGCTACGACAGAAACACTACACATCAGTGGGATATACTTTACACACCTTGCTGGAACCGCGGAAGACGGACGTGCTAGCCCCAATGAGACAGCCAGCCGCTACTAAACCCACCGGGAGAGCGGGCCGCAAACTAAATTCACGGAGACAGCCTGCATAAATGGGCGAACTGACAGCTGGCTAGTGGCGCCAACTCGTCAAACGCCAAGCTGTGCCAAAGTTGGGACTTAGCGAAACGTACACGCTATCTTGAAATATTCGTGAAAAATGTCTCGCTTGCAACCTCACGATCATACATACATAGACCTCCGAAAAGCTCGGTACACAGAAATCCATGATAACCAAAAGCATGAATGGGGGTTCCTGTGTCCACGATTAGGAGATCGCGACCTCACCACTCCTTGTCAACTGTAAATTTCCGTGTTCACGCACATTGCACACCATCTCTGCGCCTCCTATCATCGTCGCGCGCATGCCATCGGACTCGGCTCCAGACGGCGGTCGACGGCTGATGGCCCGGTGGGGTCGGCGCCGCTGATCGCGACCCCGCTACTCAGTGTGGTGAGTGGGGCCGACGGGTACGGCCGCGGCGCCGTGAGTGGTGCAGTGGTGCAGTGGTGCGGCTGTCAGCCGAGGTCGAGCTCCAGGAGCCCCTCGGAGTGGCGGCGCGGACCGGCGGCCAGCCATCAGCTTTGTGCAGGAGAGGATAACCAGCAATCCAGCAATCAGTGGCTGGGTGGCGCAGTGGCTCAGTGGTGCAGTCCTCGACAGCTCAGCGGCTCCAGTGGCTAGTTGACCCAGTGCTTAGCCCGATCAATACTTCAGCAGTTCAGTAGTTCAGAATTCTACCTGGCCATACGTCAGTGGAAAGGAAAGACATTCTGGACTAAGTGAGCCTGAACCGATCGCCAGCGCAGCTCAGAGTTCTGAACAGCACGGAAGCAGAAGCCTAAACGATAAGTACGGCAGAACCATAGGTACTGTGTCGAATTACATATACAGACAGAGTGAGTAAGGTGTTACTAGTGCGCAAATAACCTGATAAACATGTATATTGTATACCACTAACCACTTTTCAAATATCAGCGTGGAATATTATTTGAACAAACCCCGACAGATTACACGTCATACAAGATAAATTTGCAGCGCAAAGGATACCGATAATAGTAGAATAAGTGTGCGTGCGTAGATGTCTTACACAATCACCTTTTCAATTTGTATAAAAGGCATAGATGACCTGCGGTATGCAAAGGTATATCCATGGGCCCCTGGGCTTTTGGACTCAATGGACTCAAACGAAAAGTACACTGTTGAGTGTTCGAATAACACTTCGCACATAATCGCTTTAACTATAGTGCAGTTCCGTTTAAATCACATGATTATCACCCTCATTTCCTTAGTTGTCTACTCTCTTTTAATAAACTACATTGGGCTATGTTGAAAATACTTATGCATTTGCTCAAGAAGCATATGTAATTTGCTCACATTACCAGAGCTCTCATCAATATTTTTCATTGCCGCTGCCTCTGTGAACTCAGACACACGCTGCGCATAAATCCAGCACGAATACTGCCGCAGATAGTCTCATAAAACCGCACCGGCTCATATCACAAGGCAGCGAGAGCACAGGAAGCCCCCTACCGTCTGCAGTCACACACCTACCGCAGATTCACCACTCTATACCAAACATCGATAACCAGTAGCCACAACACGACCTCTGGCCTATCGCATACAGTTCAGCTCTCGTTCAGACGCTGCTGGTTCCGAGGCGGTGGGAGACGCGCTCCCAGGCGACGGGCCACGGTCAGGGTCAGCCGCAGGGGTCACCGACTGACCTCGCTCTCGGAAGCGCCGCCGCCTTGGGAACTGGGACATCGGTTTAGTGTTCATCTGGGAGCGACCGCGTGACCCCAGGTCGCCAGCTTCAGTTCGATTTAATCATAATTGGCACACTCATGCGCATCGTGTAGTAATTAAAAATAGTTAAAATTTGACGATACATTCTGGCAAGCAGTGCACAGATGCGTAATCCTAGGCAGACTTTCAGAAAACTCTGTGATGTCAGGCTCGTCTTACTTTGGCGACATGACCCGGCTAGATGGATGATGGCCTGAAAGTAAGCGGATTCTGCACTGAATATCTCAGCCGCCATAAGCAGTTGCGATGATTGGCAATGAGGTCCTGCTTTCTAATGTGAAACAATGCTGGCATTTTTTGCCAATTTATACAAGCGTACAACCCCGGAAACAAGCCAATAACAACCACCTTACAGGCGTTTAGGCCGAAGCGTCATTATTCTTTTCCTCAGGTTAATAAATCTCTAAAAAGTTAATTGTTTTCAAAACGGGCTTCGCTGAGGAAAACTAAATATTATAACCAAATATTTCGGCTTTATTGATCAGCCTTGTTCACTGGTTTTGGTTATAATATTTAGTTTTCCTCAGCGAAGCCCGTTTTGAAAACAATTAACTTTTTAGAGGCGTTTAGGATACAAATTTTATCCGACACAATGGATCAGTACCCGGCCTTACTCAAACGAACACGAATTATTCCCCAACTCAGTCCCAATTGTCAGGTGTGTGACACTTCTATTGTAACGAAGTGCCAGTTTCCGTATCCACAAAGCTCTGCCGCATCTGTACCTTACAGACTGCACTGACTTTCCCCACAGGCGTCGATTGTTACCTGGTCAGTTGCATCGATCCATGCATCGCCCCTCGGTGGTACATAACAGGAGCCCACGGCACTGTGTCAACTCATTACACACAGCAGAGACGTGGTGCAAGGAACGGGGAGGGCTTGGAGTCATAATCGCACTAAGTCACCCTCTGCCCTTTCGAACTGGCAAGCCTAGCCCAAGCCTTCCAGCATTCGTGAGGATAGCATCGAAGGGGAGATGGGCTGGTTTAGGGTGAGCGGAGGGTGAAATGGAAATGACGTTTGTCACGCAACCTCTATTGCTGTGTTCGTGGTCCGTCACACCCGTCACATCATGGTACGGTCCGTCACTCCGACACACAGTAACACCGGTCCGGTCGCTGTGTCACACATCGTCACGGCACGAACGGAAGGATGTCGCACGAACAATGACGACTGAATGCTGAAACGTTCAAAACAAAGGCGGTGGTTGAAATGAGGTGGAAATGAGATGGTGTTCCAATGTCGCCTACATCTTCGCTAAAGTGCGCTGATTGCGCATG